GCTGTGTTGATACTGTCCCTCTTTCTGGTTTCTATTATAAAAATTGTAAGGTTTTAATCATAGTCATACACATGAAATCTCTTCTTAAATGGAACCAATCAGAGTTTCTGTGCTTAAAATGTTATGATTCAAATTCCCTTAAAAAAAATAATCACCATTGACAATAAGAGTCTGAGCTATGTAAGTCTAGCAGAATCATGAGGGGTACACGTTAGTGGCCATGTTTACGCGTGCTATGATGATAGCCTTCCAGAGTTTTCAGCTGAGCTATTTAAGATATGTATCTGCTCATATGTAGATACATTAAAGAATACTTATATATGACTTAATAAATTCAGATTGAAATCTGCCTATAAATTAAATTCCCTAAATATTACTTACTTCCACTTATTTATGTCTTCTACTGACAAGTTGTATTATATTTGCAACCAAGAACCCACTAATATAAGGCCCTCTGAAACTTCACCCTCATCTAGCAGACAGTAAGACTGACCTCTGAGGTGAGCAGAATGGTACACAAGTTATGTTATTTTTAATTAAATCTTCATTATCTTGATGTACTATGAATTCTCAGACTATAAAATGACTCTCTCTCTATAAATATAGTTTAAATGTTTAAAAACTTAAATTTTTAAAACTCTGAAAAGACAAAAGAAATTCTTCCCTTTACATCATTTCCCATTACATCAGAAATATATTTCTTCCAGTTAATTTGCCTCTCTGAGTTAAACCAAAGACCACAATTACATTCTGAAGTTCATAAAGGACCAAAAATAATAACATATGCAAAAAGTGATTAAAAGTGATATGCATTAAGTATTAAAAGTGATATAGTTTTGGCTTCAGAATTTTATTTTAGAGGTTGTGCAAGGCCAGACTATGAGCCTGTTTGCAAACCTGAGAAATCTATCAGATGCGTGAGATAAAAGAGAAAAGTGAAAAGGCAAAAGTAAATACATGTTCCATGTGTACAACCATTCAGTAGTGATACAGCCACTCAGCTCACCATCGATTGATTAATCAGTTAATCTTGCAAAGTGACCGTTCAGACGCCTCTCTTCACATGAGGCACATTACAGTGATTTCTAGACCTTCTGCTAATTTAAAATACTTGTGTTTATTAAAAAGTAAGCTTTAAACTTAATTTAAACAGTAATTAAATAATAGAAGCTCAGGCACTCAACTGAAATTAAGACTTGGGTCACTTTGGAAGTATTGAAGATAGTGTGTAAGAGCAATCTATAAAAGTATCGCCACAGGCTGATCCGCCTGGTCTGGACATGCTCCCTTCTGTGTGCATTTTCAGTGGGACTGATTCTTCTCACCTCCATCTACTGGTGCTGCATGGAGGCTGGGGTGATAATGGGCAGTTTATTCATAAACACAAATCTTCTCCTGAAACATCTTCTAAGTGATGTGTTAACATATTAAAATCACAGAAAATCTTTCCAAAATACCCTTTGCAACACAAAAATATTTGTTACTATCACTGATGGCATCTAGCTTCTTCAGATCCTTTTCGCTTTCACAGAAGATTTCAATTACAAACAACACTACCCAATGAGTGATTCCGTGTAAAATATCTTCTCGCAAATTTTCTTAATGTGACTGATCCTCTATAAACTCTAGAAATGTATACCGTCAACTTGCACAACAGAGTCCCAGTGCCCAAGAGGCTCAACACTCATATGTCAGTCATGGCTGCAGGGCCAGGGAAATGAGCGTTCTGCTGGGCTCCTGCATTCTTCACATTGTGCTCATGGACAAAGGCAGGGTAGTTTCTAGGTGCAGGATGGGGTGGGGACAAGGCCCTTGTGTCCCACTGGTTTCCACCACGTTGAGAGCGATCACCGGCAGCCGAGAGCCTGGATGGTTGGGGTGGGAGGGGAGCACAGTTAGTCAACAGGAGAAGATGAAGGTGTAAGAGGTAATAAAGGCGGCCATGGGACCAGCATGCAAAACTGCCACAAGCAGTTACCAGCATCTACTCCATGCAACAAGAGCATTCAAGAGCAACAAATGGGGAAATCCACAAAGTTACATGTAGTGGAAAATGGCAATATGGAAACATGTCAAGTAATCAGAGTCAGGCGAATTAAATGAAGAAGGAATTTCACAAAGAGCAAGACACTCTGCATCTGTCCCCAATCCTGCTATCAAAATCAGAGGCAGAAAAGTTGCCTGAGGTCCTAATGAGAAAAAAAATGCTTATAATCTACTTCATTCAAGTATCTGAAAGGATAAGTTTACATAAGGACAAAGCCACATACAGCAAAGGGCAATTGTGAAAAGTTATTTCACAAATCAAGTGGCATAAAACTGAAGTCCATGAAACAAAATTCAGAAAGAACATTAAAAAAAAAAAATCTGCCCTCATAGAGGCTATGTAATTGGACATCAATGTTTCCAATTAACAATGGAGAAACACTGTTCCTTCTACAGTGAATTAAATTCAACAGGTACAGATAATGTGATGAGAAAAAGCCCCTCCAAGAAAGTGTTAGTGCCTTTTATCACAAGTGCTATAAGCAAACATATGAAAGTAAGAGTGAAACATGCAAAGAAGCAATTTCTGATTAGAAACGATCAGAGTCCTCCCGTAGAAAGAAAACAGTTGCCAGAGTTTTGTGCATGACCAAAAGGGCAGCACACATTTAAGGTAACTACAAAGGGAAAACAATCACCCCAATTATAAAAATGTCTAAGGACAGACATTCTATTCAACTAAGGCCTGCATCTTCATCTTTCTTCCTTAAGGAAACTGAAAATAAATTAGCTAAAAGGATTTTCAGGACAAATTTGGAAGCCTTTTTTGTTTTTTTAAACAATAAAATTATCGCCTTCAACTGCAATACAAGCTGTTCATCAGATCTAACCCAGAAATAGCAGATCTAGCCCTCAATTTAGGGTCTCTAAAAACTTAGAAAATTAGGTTTATGTTCTCCCGTACATATGCAAGATTTTCCACATAGTATTCAGTTTTGTTTATAAATAGTTAGTGAATTTTAAATACATAAATTCTCAAAAGACAGTTTAAATATTGGGTAATTCTATACTGACATACCAAATCATTCACTCAAATAATGATGTCATTTAGAAGATATCAGCAATAAAAAGCTACAGAACTGAACAAGGAGTACATTTAGATTAAACTGGTTAAAAGTTATTTGCCAGAAATAGAATAGTCCATTATTCCACCCAACCGTCCAAACCCAGGGAGCATTCCCAAATTTCATTAACATCACTTTCTAAAGGAGGACTGTTTTATATTCATGTGAAAGTATTAGAATCAAAGCATGCAGAAACAGAAATGGAAATATAGATTCATCTTAAGTTAAGGCTGGGGAACCCATCGGCTCCAAGACAGGCCAGCTCCACGCCAAGTGCCAGGCCTTGCTGACACACACGGAGGCGTGCTGGGCCGGGGGGCCACCACTCTGCTCCATTTCCGCAGAGGCGGTCACAACACAGTTATATAGAGGGGGACACACAGCTCCAGATTTCTCCTTTTTCCTGAAATTCAATACTCAAAGACTCAGCATTCTCTCTTCAAAGGCTGCATCAAAGGAACTGAGTAAATGCCTAACAAATCATTTAAACAGATTTAAATATGTACCAATTAAAACTGAGAAGCTAAAGATTTAAACATTATACAGATACAAACAAACCAGATTCTCATTCTGTATTAACATAAAATGTAAGCATGTATTAAATGAGCTCTTTTCTAATTGAAATCTCAGTACTATGTTTCCTTGCCAAAGACGTGGCGGTAACAAGGAGACAAAACATAGCCTCTTACTGGAGCTGCATTTTCATAGGAAACTGAAGAAACTGTTTTTAATGGCTTAAAAAAATAAAGACTAAAATTTGACATGCAGAAGCCTCACTGTTTGTCCTTTAGGTGTGTGCCCACGTGCACACACACACACACAAAGTACCCCAACCACATTCTCAAGTAGAAAGGGGGGAAAAAAGGATAATGGGAGAAAACAAGGGCAGAAATCCCCTTGGTCTTAGAAACTCATCAAGTTATTTGGAACTGAAGCAAAAATATATCCAATCATCAAAAGCAAAGCACCTTGCAGTTAGTTAAGCCAAAATAACAGTGAAAAAACAATTACATAGCAAAGACTGAAAATAATCACCAACCACTGTTGACCCACCACCATGAAGGAAGAGCTGGTTGCACAGAAAGCTGACCCAAACCTTGAGATCACCAACAGAAACTCATTAGATTTCAGGTACTACATAAACTGAGAGCAAGAGAAAAAGAGAAAGACCCTATCAATTATCAAAGTTCATTTCATAAACAGACATAAAACTTGAACAGATGATGCCCAACAGGACCACTCAATCAAATAATCCCCAAGGAGCCCCCCAGACCACATACATTCATTCAGGAAGGGATGAACCTCATGGATTAACCCCGTAAGCCACAAAGTATCCGTATCTGTGCACTCACTATTAGTCTCAAAAAAAAAAAAAAAACCCTGGGACTCTAAACAAATGAAGTATCTTCCCATCATAAGATTATTCCTCCAACTCTTCCCCATGGAATATTTCATGCTTTGTTTTACTGGACTATAATTACGGTTCTGTTTTGGCTTTATCTCTAGTCTTTAATAAAGAAAACACAGCCAAAGCAATAGCATCACGTTGTGTAGAATAACGTGGACTGAAGACATGATTCTTATGGATCTGGGAAAAGGTCCTATCGAGTAGCACTAAAGTCTTTTTTTAACAGAGAACCACTGCCACTCCCAGCTCACACTAACCAGTCAGGAGAGCCATCTCACAGGCTTCACTGACACTGTCACCCTGCTTCATCTGCATCCCTTACTCATCCCAATATGATAGCTCAACAATATGCTTTTTTTGTCAGCTTACAAATAAGAATAATTTGCTTTCAATCATATTTCAAGTAGCCTAAGATTATGGCTGGGGATTCAGAACACCCTTAGGCAAGCAACACTTTATTTTGGTTTAATGAAGAAACGAACCATTTCTTGTCGCGCTGGTCTGTTCCAGGACTCCTTGGAAGATTCTCGACCTCCGCTACCACAGGACCAGCGGGAACAGAAGGAATCACAGGCACAGTGGACCTCACACCCCAAGCCTTTGGACACAAATTATAAAAGATCTCTTCACTGGTAAGTAGAATATTAACATGGAATACTAGCTACACAGTGAACAGATATGACAGTAATAAACAGAGCAATAAACAAATGCTTGAAAGTTATATACCACCTTTGGGACAGATAATAATCTAACTGAACATTAGTATTTTTTCCATTTTACAGGATTTATAGGGTCAGAAAATGTTTTATTATAACATTAAAACCTTTTCTATTATAACATCTTAAGGGAATAAAGTAGCAGGTCTCATATGGTTGAGCCATTTTACAGATAAGAAAAAGAAAATGCATAAAACTTTCCTGAGGTTATACTAGTATGAGAACTGGGTTAATACTACTGCTGTCTATCACACTGATAATTAACCACAGTATTCTAGTGCTTTAGAAGCTTAATACTCTCTTACCTGTTGGGAACCATTACTCTGAGCTGAAACATTGTTGTGAACACTGTAATGGGGAAAAAAAAAAAGAAAAGAAAAAAATTACCATGAGCACCTAAAACTAAGAACAGACGACGTCCAGAAAACACCTGCTTTCACTGGCAGACACGTTTCTGCTCACTTGATATTTCCATACACCTGTATTCTACTTGTGCTTTAGATACATACTTCACTCCTAATCCTGTTTATTCACTGGACAACATCTGTCAAAGACAGCAAAATAAAGACAGCTGCACAAATGATTCCTTAAGGCATTAAGTACAAACATCCACATAAACTTACCTGTCACTTCTGTATACTCCTACCCTCTCAAGATTTTCCAAGGTCACTCAGCATTTTATAACTCAATAGGCCTTACTATAAACTTAGAAGCTTCTCTATACACCCTTCTCCTCCAAATGATTTACAAGTATGCCGTTAAATCTTTAGTTTAGGCTGTGCTCATTCCCTTCCCACTTCCCCCAAAAAAGCACTTAAAAAACTCAGCATATAATACAACATAATAAACAAAAACAAACCTCAAAGCTGGCTAAAAAAAGAACAAATATTCAACAAGAACTCAAAGATGAGATACTGACACAACAGAGTAAGGTAAATAAAATAATTCACTGACTTCAGACCTACTAACATGAGTGTAACTTGTATCCTGAGAAAAGGAACTCAGCTAAGGTAACTGAAAATATATTCAGTGTCATTAAAAAACAAAACAAAAAAAACTTCTCTGAAAGTGAGAAAAATAATCTACAGATTTAACGAGAACATTGTATTCCAAGGAGATGAAATGCAGAATACATTCAGTTCCTTATTGTTATATTACTGACCTTCAAGGACAAGGAAATAACACTTCAGAGAAGAGTTTAAAGAAATGTGATAGCACATCACTGCCAGTATCAGGCCAGCACAGAGTTCTCCATGGCGACCCTCAAAGAATACCACACCCAGCCAGGATGCCACGCCAGCCACAGGAAATGGGCAAAGCTTCACAGACACAAAGTTACTCTGAATACAGGATCCAGGAGCCTTCTCAGGGAGGGAGGACAAAACGGAGGTAAACGATGATGGAAGACACCAATTAAGAAAGAACTCAAGATGAAAAGGCCTTGCTAAAAGGCTAGGGGAGGAGGAATAACCATTTTATATCTCGTATTTTACTAACCACAGCTCTACTACAAGTCAAAGTCACCAGAACAAGCACCTCCACTGCCTGGGTTCAAATCCAAACAGAACCACTAGCTTTGCTCTCTGAACTGCAGTTTCCTTATTTGCATGGGGCTCTTAGCAAAGCACAAAGAACAGTGACAAATACAACTAAACAAACAAACAAAATCTTTAAAAAAAATATACGTTTAGTGTAGAATCTGTTGCCAAGGCCAGTGGGGAAGAAAACACCTGTCAGGCAGAATTTCGTTTACTAATCTTGCTGTAATTCCCAAGACACACTGTATTATATTCAGGAACTCTTAAATCTCCATGTTAATGAAAACCCACTCAATTCGTATGGTTCAGAAATGACACATCACTATATGGCCCTTTGGTTACACTCTGAAGCTTTTCCTGCAACTGGGAATAACTCCAAGATGATAGGTAAAAGATGATGGAATAAAACGAGAGGGGAAAAAAGCGCTTATAATAAGTGATACAGGACTCTAGCTCCCTGTTTTAGAACAATTTGGAAGACAGGAAGCACTATCCTCTCATCACTGCACCTATTCTTTCACCTCCACTAGTATGAAAGTAACAGATTACTTTTCATTACTGACCCAATGCAGCTTCCTTTTTAAAGAAATGTTTTGCTCTAATGCCGTCTCTATGTATCACTTCTTCCACCATTTCTTCTCTTCCTCTCTTTTCTGTCTTCAAGACTGTTCACTAAGTCTGTGCAAGAAGTACTACTAAATGAAATGTGAACTGTCCTTTAAAATGTCACCTCTTCCTAAGATAGTTTATATTAGTCAAGACTCATGAGGGAGTAGTTAGAAACTAACCTCAGCCAATTTAAAAACCTGCTATTCAAACAAGCACAGTTTTTTAGGTCAAATGGTTGTGCTTTTTCAAACAGTACTGTTTTCCATGGTTCACTGGAGCAAAGCTGCTCATGCAAACAGAAATCCAAGGGCAGGAATGAAAGGGCGTTCCTGCCAGTCCCAGGCCAGGTTCTCTCAAGCACTGTTAGGAGCAGGGCTCAATAACTTTCAGGAGAGTGGCCCTCCTATAAATGTCATTCCTAAAATTTTATTCTAATTAAAAAGTAATAAAGTATATGCTTAACTACCCCATTTTTGCTCTGTTTTCCAGAGCCAAAAGCATCGCTCAGGAAGACACAGTAAAATTTAATAAGGTTAAACTAATCTCAATTCTAGAAAAGAGACTATATAGTCATATTCACTTTTTGGTCAGAAATCTATATTTCAGGAAAATTAAAAGGAGGACAAACTCCTGCAGATAAAATAAATTACTTTTTCAACTACATATCACTTCTTGAATCTTTTCTTTTACATTTCTGCAAGAATCTCTTCACTTTAAGCTCTAATATTCTGTCCCAGCCTGTTTTTCAGGGAAGTAAGACATGATTAATTAAACAAACAAAAGACAAATAAAATACTTTACATGGAACACCTCTTAACATTTCTCCACCATTCTTCTTAAAAGCATAGCTTAAAAATAAACCCAAGAAAAACTAAAGTGCATAGCTCAGAAAAGGCAGAAAATGTTTTTACCTAACTAAAAATTCACAGGGCTTACCTGGTGGCTCAGATGGTAAAGAATCTGCCTGCAATGCAGGAGACTTGAGTTCAGTCCCCAGGTTGGGAAGATCCCCTGGAGAAGGAAATGGCAACCCACTCCAGTATTCTTGCCTGGAAAATCCCACGGACAGAGGAGCCTGGCGGGATACAGTCCATTGGACTGCAAAGTCGGATACAACTGAGCAACTAACACTTTCACTTTCAAAAATTTACTGAGAAAAAATCCCTCACCTTTCTCCCTACTCTACCGATTTATTTATTGTTAACCGCTTACTGACATTTAAAGGAACTTTAGAGGAATCCTTACTCAAAAAACAGAGTGCTTCTGTGATGAGTCACTAATCATAGCCTGGCTTTACCGGCTTTCTAAATGAAAACAAAACTGAATATGACATCGCAAGGTGAGACCAACCCTACTCAACACCCAAAACAACTCCTTCTGAAGGAGCTCTAGTTATACACTTGCCGCATAGGAGATTATACAAGTTTTTTTTTTTTAAGAGAACAATACTAGATTTGTATGTCTCGAATCTGATACTTTACCAGGCATTCCAGGAGCCTCTGCTTCACACCAATGGTTGAGAAGCATTACATGAAACTACACTACTACTATTAATTGAGTCATCAGAAGCAGGACTTCAAGAATCATGGTTTGAAGACGGGGCAGATCCTCTTCCCAGCAAAACAAACATTTGGCTGGTGAAAATTATTTTTTAAAAAAATCATTAAAAGGAATACACCAAGTGGAGACATCTATTCAAGACAACCTACTCAGTCTGAGAGCTGAGTCCGGCACCTGAAACCCGGTTCCTCTCCTCCTGGTTCTCCCGTGTTCAGTGCTGTAGGAGCCTCACTCCACGCGGGTGAGGCCAAGAAGACAATCCACTCCCCGCATCCAGAATGCAAATCAGCTATCTTAAATATACTTGAGAACTAAAAAACCACATGTGGAGAAGTAAAAGTATGACAACAGTGCATTCACAAATAAAGAGTATTTTAAACAAAGAAATTATCTTTAAAAAAAGAAATTCTGGTGTTGAAATGTACCATAACTAGAACAAAAAGTTCACTAGAGGAACACACAGATTTTAGCGGACAAAAGAACCAGTGGCTTGAAGGTAGGTCAAATGAGATGATCTAGTCTGAGGGACAGAAAGAAAAAGAATGAGGGAACATGAACAGACTCGGAGGTCTGCAGGTCCCATAAGGAGGGCAACATGCGTGTAATGGGAGTCCTGGAAGGAGAGAGAAAGGAGCAGGGAAAAAACGTGAGAAATAATGAGGGAAAACTTCCGAAACTTGAAAAAAACAGGTAAGCCATAGAAAAGCAACCAAAAGGGAACTGGACTGACCACACTTATATCAGACTAAGTAGGCTTTAATACAAAACAGTTACTGGAAAAAGAGAGGAACTTTTTTTGTAATAAAAGAATAAAATAATCATAAACAATATGTGCACCTCACATGAAGTTCTAATACATGAAGCACAAAGAAAGAACCAGACAACTAACTGGAGAGTTTAACAGTCCATGTTTAATAAAGGATAGGACTAGCCCAAGATCAATGATGAAACGGAAGTGAACAACAGTAAGCACCAAACAGCCCTAACAGGTATCTACAGGACATGATGCTCAACAGCAGAATAAACAGTATTCTCAAGTACACACACCTGGACCACTTTCCAAGACAAACTACATTCTGGGCCATAAAACAGGCCTTGACAACTGCAAAGGGATCAAAATCATGTGAAGTACATTCTATAACCGCCATGGAATAAAATACAGAGAGAGGAAAATTTAACATACAAATGTGTATGTTAAGCAAGATACTCCCAAGCAGTCACTAGGCCAAAGAAGCTATCATAAGAGAAATTAGAAAATAATTTGAAGGAATAAAAATCAAAATACAACAGACCAAAACTTATGAAATATGATCAAAGCAGTGCTTGGAGAGAAATTCATAGCTATAAATGTTATAAAACAATAAAGACCTCAAATATCAATAAACTGATATTCCACCTAAAGACACCAGAAAAAGAAAACTAAATAAAAAGCAACCAGAAGGAATGAAAAAATATACCAGAGAGAAAGTTAATGAAATAGTCTATAGAGCAAAACCAAAAGCTGGCTGAAACCAAATGAAACCAAAAGCTGGCTGAAACCAAATGAAACCAAAAGCTGGTTCTTCAAACAGGCCAACAAAACTGACAAACCTTTATCTAGAGTGACCAAGGGAAAAAGAAACTCAAAGAACCAAAATCAGAAATTAATGAGGGGTGTGTGTGCTCAGTTATTCAGTCGTGTCCAGCTCTTTTTGACCCCATGGACTGTAGCTCGCCAGGCTCTTCTGTCCATGGGATTTTTCTGGCAAGAATCCTGGAGTAGGTTGCCATTTCCTCCTCCAGGGGATCTTCCCCACCCAGGGATTAAACCTGTGTCTCTTGCATTTCCTGCATTAGCAGGCAGGTTCTTCACCACTGTGCCACCTGGGAAGTCCTGAGTGAGGGGACATCACTACAAAGCTTACAAAAATAAAATGGAAAAGAGAAAAATATAAACAACTGTATGCCATAAACTAGATAATTTAGGTAAAATGGAAAAATTCTGGAAAGACACAAACTCCTAAACTGATTCAAGATAGAAATTAAATATGAATACATCTACAACAAGAAACTGAGCTGGAAATTTAAAAATCTGACATAAATAAAGTCCAGGTCAGATGGTTTTAATGGTGAATTCTACCATATATTTAAAGAATTTTTTACAAATTCTTCCCCAAAATTAGAAGGAAATATTCCCCAACTATTCTATGAAGCCAGAACCACCCTGATACCAAAACCAGATAAAGATAGTACAAGAAAACTACAGACCAGTGTCTTTGATGATACAGACACACAAATCCACAACAAAACTAGTGAACCAAATCCAGCAACGTATAACCTAAAGAAAGATTATACACCATGACCAAGTGGGATTTACCCAGGAATGAAATGGACTGTTTATCTACAAGTCAACCTTTGTTCTCTGAGCTCCCTGAGAGCAAGGGTGACAGTCTGTGCATCTGCACACCCTCAGTCACACACCAGTAACAGATGCATGTATGATGAACAGCACAGCTACCCGACCCCACTCTTTTTCCTTAAATTGCTTTATTTGCGTTGCGCCAGCTTTATCTGGCACCATGAATTCATTCGTCCCCTGCCATGTCCACCATGCTCAGGGATAAGGCAACACTCTAACAGGCCTTCAGCAAATGCTGGTGGGATTAATGACAGCAACTGCAGAAACGTTAAAACATTCTAGTGCCAACCCCTAAGGAGCAAGACATCACCCACCTGAGTTCTTCAGGTTTCCCTGTACTTGCTGACAGAAAAGAGAAAACATCCCATTAGTTTCCCTCCAACATGATAAGCTGCTTTACCACTTATTAGTATTATTTCTTTTAACTTTCTGTCCCACAGCACAGCATGCAGGATCTTAGTTCTTCAACCAGGGACTGAACCCGTGCCCCCTGCACGGGAAGCACGGAGTCTTAGTTGCTGGACCACCAAGGGAAGTGCCTACAAAAGCAAATCTTGATTAACTGCTTTGTAAGCTACTTTCCACTGTATTTAAAAATCTTCATTTCACAAAAGGTATTCTGGGGTTCATGCCATTAAAGTGAGTAATAACAATTATTTCCAATTTTTAAATAAGGCAATAAAATAAGTATCCATTAAAAAAAGAAAAGAATCATCTGCAAGCCTCTAGAATAAGCTGATAGTGAAAAATCATCAGTGGAGTCTATGAGGTATTTAAGGATATTAAACAAACTGAAATGGTTTTATTTATAGCTACATATTACTTAATTTATAGGTACATCAAAACATATGACTATAAGTCAGTTTTTTGAAAAAACTGATACTGCCAACATCAGGTCATGGCAATTATTTCTAACTCTGACACTGGACATACTTAAAATGCAATCTAGGGACTTCCCTGGTGGTCCAGTGGCTGGGACTCTGTGTTCCCAATGCAGGGGGCCCAGGTTTGAGCCCTAGTCAGGGAACTAGATCCCACATGCTGCAACTGAAAGTCACACATGCCGCCAACAGGGACTGAGGACCCACGTGCCACAACCAAGACTCAGCACTGCCAAACAAATGATTTTTAAAAATTCAACTCTGATTTGAAAACAATCGCAAGTTTTAGCTTACTGGTCAAAGTAAACCATTCTTTGTATTATATAACTAAAGTAACAAACAACAAGGAACATTTATGAATTTGGAAATATCTATGTACAATGTACACTGATGATTAAATATAAAAATTACACTTAACAGAATCTTTAATATTCTAACACAATACAAAATAATCTTTACTTAAAATTTATTCATCATATACCAATGTTTTAAAAAATACTTAAGGGAGATCTGAAAGTCACAAAGGGAGGGAAGATGTTGCTCTACAGAAGAACTAAAAGAGTAAGAACAAAAACTGAACACAAACTTGGCACAGTGTCTGAGCAGTGATTAGCTTCAAGTTTAATCTCAGCAACAGTATAGGCAGTTTTACCCCTTGTATTTTTTAGAACTGGTTATGCCAGGAGCAAATGCAATTATTTAAATTAAGAGTATTTTAGCACTCTGATATAACAGAGGTAACACTGAGACATCTTCCCCTCCAGTCAACAATATAGCACAAGATAAACTGTCAGGAAGAACAGTCCTTGGAAAACAGGGCTGCATTTCACCTTTCACTTGCAGAGTTCGTCGAGAATACCGTTTGCTGGGTCTTCTTTCAAAGGATGTTGATCTTCTTGCTTTATTGGTCTTAGTGGTCTGATACTCAGTTTTCCCACTAAAATAAATGAGACATTTAACAGGAACAAGAGAATTTCAGGCTTACAGTAACCAGATACACGAAAACAACAAAAAGTCTATCCTGAGGTTTTCCTTAAAAGAACCTTCCTGAACTTTATCAAGATAGTCTTGATGACTCTCTTTATCACACCATTCTTTTCACTCTTCAGGCTTGTGTGAAAGATGCAACACAACTTATGTTGTTTCTTCCTAATTATGCACATCACCTAAGAACATAATAAGTGAGTGTGAAATATCTGTGCTTTTATGGAACTCCTCTCTTTCCCACCCACACTCCTCAATGCAAGATGTACAATTAACTCAAGATTTTCCATTAGTTTTTCTAATTGTGATATGCTTTTCAGAAGACTTTCTCAGAAATATTAAAACTATTTTAATATTTGATACTTATCTTCATTGCCATTTAAATTCTGCCAAGAAAATGCCCCCCCCCACTTAATGTAAGTAAAATAGAAGCTTTCTTACATGAATTCCACATACAGTCAACTTGCCACATTACTGATATCCATTCCTTCTTTAAATCACACTGAAACATGCTGAAAACTCACTATCAATAAGCTACTCTGAGTAAACCAAAATGTTTCTAGCTTATGACTAACAAACATGGAATGTGCAAGAACAATGGAACATCAGGTTTATAAGGACCAGAAATATTATCCAGATTAATATCCCACTAGAACACCATACCCATTTTCTACATGGTATCCAGCTTAGACTCCTTAAAACTCCTGCTATGTGGATTTAAACTAGGGGTTAATAAATATATAAAGCAAACATTAGTGTTCATCAACAGATGAAAGGATAAGGAAGATGTAGTAGATGTACACAACAGACTGTTACTCAACCATAAAGAAGAATGAAATAATGCCATCTGCAGCAACATGGGTGGACCTGAAGGGTATTATGCTACGTGAAGTCAGTCAGAAAGAGAACGATACTGTATGACAGCACTTACACGTGGAATCTAAAAAATAAACTAGTGACCAGAACAGACTCACAGACACAGAGAACAAACTAGCAGCTACTGGTGGGGAGAGGGAAGGGAGGTGGGGCAGAAGACAAGTAGAGGACTAAGAGGTACAAACCGCCAGGCATAAAATGAACAAGCTGCAAGGATACAGCACACAACACAGGCAATATGCCCAATATTTTACATAACTAGACTTTTTTAACAGGAAAAATTCTGTTAAGTTACTCCTTAAAAAAAAAAAGAAAAGAAAACATCAAGAGGGATATGAAATCCATTATACCTTTACAATACTTTTTCAGGAAATTACAGTCAATAACAATACATACCATTTTTTCTTTGATTTTGGCCAATGAAAAACACTGGCAAACTGATTCATCTTTCCATGCCCTAGCTTCCACATCTGCAAATGAGCAACTGGGCTACATTTTCTGGCCTCTATGAAATTATGAAAGGTACAGCAAGTAGCCACAAACATTCACCTGTATCTAAACCGTGATCCTAATCGAATAAATCCTGAGCGATGAGAACTCTTTTGGACAGGGCCTCGCAGCCGGAAGAAGGCATGATGCTCCACAGCACATTTCCATAAATGTTTGCATGCTTTGGGATGATCCAGTCTAAAGACAAAGGTATGCTCCTGCTCCTTGCCCTGAAGAAGAAACGGTGTTAACAGAAGTAATTATTAACTTGGATACTCTTGTCGCCTGTTATTCAGCTTCAAATATAACCACAGCAGTATCAAAAGTCAAATACTAATGAAGCACCTGGCTTGCTTCCTGAAACTCTGACACTCTCTAGAGCCACCTGCAGAGACAGGCAGAGTTAAAAGCAAACTGTCCATTTTCTCAGCCAATACAAAATTATTCCCAAGAGTTTCCTCTCCAGTTACACGATCTCATTTCTCAGAGATATTAAATGAAACTTTCTCTGCCATACTTCAGGATAAATGAATGTATAACTATAATTAAAAGGTTCACATAAGATATGGCAATATACCTAACAGCCTTAAAAATGGCCACATTCCTGGTCCTAGTAACCATACTCACAGGAATCAAATTATACTAGTTAATATTCATAGCCACTTTTCTAAGAATTTCACATGAATTGTCTCAATGAGTAGATACTATCATTAGCTCCATTTTACAGATAAGGAAACTGAGGATCAAGAAATTAAGCCCAATGTCACAAAGTTAGTAAGAAAAGAAACCAGACTTTGAATCTAACCACTGAGACACCCACACCTACATTTATAACAACTAAGCTATACTGTGTCTCCAGGGGAAAAGACTCTCAAAACCAAAATTTACACCCCACGATTTTCTTCAATCTCATTTATAAAAGTAAAAGCTGGCATAAAACCCTAATTGTTCAAAACATGAGAAAAGTAATCAAGTAAACAATAACATTATTTTAAAAGTACACAGATAGATAAATGAATAAAAGATAAATGAACTAATGCACTACTGGTGATTCATGTTGCAGAATATGATACATAGGTTAAAGTGAATGAACTAGAACTACATGGCTACAGATGCTTAGGTAAAATAAGCAAGCTGCAAAAAAAAAAAATCCCCACCTTAATGTATATATGTAATATACATATATATGCAGATTTCTAAAACATTCTACCATGTATCATGATGTGGTTATATTTACAAAAGGTTAGAAAATATGAGACTAATACCCTGAAAGAATGAGGAAGAAAGGGACAAGCTTTGGCTTAGACCTTAGCTGTATCAAATATACTTTTAATAATTTATCAGTTCTAAAAGGGATCTGAAGTAGCAATGCCAAAAATATTAAATTAAAGTGAGTAAAATGGTTAAGTTTCAATTATACTTTTCAGTATATTTTTGAATATTCTGTCATTTAAAAATACTTCATAAACTTTATACACAGTTTCTTAATAACCTTGATACAGGCAGAGATCCTTATACTTTAAGACACAAAACATACATTGGTCACAAAGGAAAAAATGTATAAACTACATTTCATTAAAATTACAATCTTTTTTATCCAAAGGATACTAACAAAGGAGTCAAAAGGCAAACCAAAGTGAAGACAGTTACAACATATATATCTGACAAAGAAATGAGGCCCAGATATAAAAAGAACTTCCTTAGTGAGAGGAAAAATACATGACCCAACAGAAAAACAAATGAAAAACTTAAACAGGCATTTCATTAAAAAGAATATCCAAACATGCAACAAATATAAGTAAGTGCTATACTGAAATTGTCATCAAGTAAAACCCTAAAATAATTCCTCTACCAGAATGGATGAAATGAGAAAGAAAACACTGAACACAAGCAAAAGAAGAACAGATTAAACCCTCACACATTTCAGGTGGGAGAGTGGTTCACTTGTGTAGATACTGGCAAACAGTCCAGCTGTTTCCCTAAAAGCCAAACAGATGCACATCCCATGGCTCAGGGTAACACTCTTCTCACCAGCCAAAAATTAAAAAAAAAAACTCAAATGTCCATCAGCAGCAGGATGGGTAAATATTGGTCTATTCATATAACTGTACACTATTCAACAGTAGGAATGAGCCAACTACAGTCACCTCCTACAGCAGGGCTGAAAGCTCAGAATCACAGTCCTGAAATACAGAAGGAAGACTCAAAGAGAACAGTCAGTCAGGTGTCATTTATACCAAGCTCAAAAGTCAGGTGAGTGGTTATCCTTGGTCAACTGGACCTGGAGTGGCACACAAGGGAAATTCCCTAATTCTGCTGGAATTCTATTTTCTCACCCTGGTACTGGTCATAAAAGTGTACATAAAAACTCAACAAGCTGTACATTTATTCTTAAACTTTTCTGAATGGAGGTTATATTTCAATGAAATGTACCAACAAAATCTACACAAAGGAAAAAAAAAAAAAGAGAAAATGTCTTTCTCAAGACAGGGAAAAGCCTTCTGTGACATAAAACCCCGGATCCATAAAAGATGAATATATTCACCTATTTAAAAAGTCTTAAAGTGCATGACAAACCCCACAATAAGCACTGTTAAAGGACAAACAACTATTAGATAAACTATTTATAATGTCAGTGAAAAACAGTAAAACTGTAAGAAAAAAGCCAATAACCCAGAAGAAAAATGGGCAAAAAAGGAAATCAAGTAATTCAAATGTATGACAAGATGTTCAGTATCACTCATAAAGCCAGAAATAAAATTTAACCCTACAATGAAATTCCATTTTGTTTTAACCTTTCAGATACAAACGTGATTAATTCCGTCCTGGAGATAAGCCTGAACACTAAAAACTATGCGAGCAGGTAGGATCGCTGTACACCCAGGACAAACACACATGACCATTCGGCCCCACCGATCCCCCTTAAGGAAGTTATCTTACAGATGCTCACCAATGTGTAAATTATACGCGGTTAATAAACAGTGAATAATGTCACTTAATGGATAACTGATTAAATAAGGGTGCACCATATACTAGAACACTATGCATTTTAGTTTGCTTTTATAAGAATGGAGAACAACTTTACATATTGATATAGAAAGCATTCCAAGTCAGAACGTAAAGTTTAAAACAGATAAGCAGGAGCACATAAGCATGGCAACCTCTGCACAGAAATGATACACACATTTGCTTGTGTATAAAACACCCTCAAAAAGAGATCCTAGAAGCTAATAATGTATTAGATTAAATCTGAAATTCCATCAATTCTAAGATGTACAATTATTTTATGGCCCAAAAAGAACAAGTATCACCAATTAAACTATGACCATATTCTTTATCATATAGAACTATATCTTATTCTTCTTGAGTGATTCTTTTAGATTTAGATACAAATATCATTTAATCACATCTGTGCTTAAATAAAAAGGAAAATATTTGTAAAATAGATTGTCTTTAGATGTGAAACCTGACTCTTCTGAAGCATTTTCAACTCATTTGTCAATAATATAATGATCATCCGTGCCATCGAGACATTTCTTTTTTAAATGCTCAATTACTGTCTCTGATATTTCTCCAAGCTGTATGACAGGGTAATCCTTTGCATGTATCTCAGCAATACAACTGAAAACTTTCCAAAAACCTGGAGTTGTTTTATCTAATTTTCAGGGTCTCCTTTTTTCAGGTTCTGCTAAGTAGCCCTACTCACACTTTACTGAGCATACAGATCTTTTTAACATTTGACCTGTCTGCTTTTATTTATATCTGTCTATATATTTCCAATGTATTACTTGGCATGCAATGAAGTTATTTTTATTTACTCATAATTCTGTGGCTTTTGAAAATGCATAGAATCACGCAACCACCACCCAAATCAGGATACAGAATAGTTCTCTGAACCCCCAAATTCCTCATGCTGTTTCTTTGCAGTCAAGCCTCCTCACACACCCAGTCCCAAAGGATCAGTGAGTGATTCCCTACTCCTGTAAGGGCTGCCTTTCCTAGACTGTCACAGAATGAATCATACCGTCATAATCTTTTAATCAGGCTTCTTACCCTTTGCATAATTCATTTGAGATTCATTCATGTTATTATGAGTTTATCAGTTAGGAACTAGACTTAACTAAAAAACAGATAATCCTTAGTATAGAAGGCTTTATTAAAAAATATTCATTTCTCCAAGGAAGACATACAGATGGCTAACAAACACATGAAAAGATGCTCAACATCACTCATTATCAGAGAAATGCAAATCAAAACCACAATGAGGTACCATTACACACCAGTCAGGATGGCTGCTATCCAAAAGTCTACAAGCAATAAATGCTGGAGAGGGTGTGGAGAAAAGGGAACCCTCTTACACTGTTGGTAGGAATGCAAATTAGTACAGCCACTATGGAAAACAGTGTGGAGATTTCTTAAAAAGCTGGAAATAGAACTGCCATATGACCCAGCAATCCCACTTCTGGGCATACACACCGAGGAAACCAGATCTGAAAGAGACACGTGCACCCCAATGTTCATCGCAGCACTGTTTATAATAGCCAGGACATGGAAGCAACCTAGATGCCCATCAGCAGACAAATGGATGAGGAAGCTGTGGTACATATACACCATGGAATATTACTCAGCCATTAAAAAGAATTCATTTGAATCAGTTCTAATGAGATGGATGAAACTGGAGCCCATTATACAGAGCGAAGTAAGCCAGAAAGATAAAGACCATTACAGTATACTAACACATATATATGGAATTTAGAAAGATGGTAACGATAACCCTATGTGCAAAACAGAAAAAGAGACTCCTATGTATAGAACAGACTTGTGGACTCTGGGAGAAGGCGAGGGTGGGATGTTTCAAGAGAACAGCATTGAAACACGTATATTATCTAGAGTGAAACAGTTCACCAGCCCAGGTTGGGTGCATGAGACAAGTGCTCGGGCCTGGTGCACTGGGAAGACCCAGAGGGATTGGGTGGAGAGGGAGGTGGGAGGGGGGACCGGGATGGGGAATACATGTTAAAAAAAAAAAAAAAAGATACACTATGGTTGTGATAAAAAATAAATAAATTAATTAAAAAAAAAAGATACACTATGGTTGTGATAAAAAATAAATTAATTAATTAATTAAAAAAAAACAAAAAAAATAAAAAATATTATTAGGTACATCTTTCTGATTAATCTTTTTGATCAGGAACTAAAGGCACAAAGCCATTTAGTTATAATTTTTATACACTTGAGATACACACTCATCAACAAAGGAACAAGAATAGTCTTTATTCTTTAATCTTAAAGCAGAAAACTATAGTTTGAAGATGGTGTGACATAAAGCAAGGAATTACGTTATTAATTATACTAAGTTTCCCCTTTTAGAGAATTAAGTTACCATATAACACAGTCACTGTTAAATATGTAATACAATATAATTCCTACCTGATCATCATCTTCTACAACCACCAACGTTAGCTTATTCTTCTTAAAATCCAATCTGGTTATCTTGGGCCTATAACAATATGAGCATAACAGTCAGATTTCAAATAAATGTCCTAGAAGTTTAAAAAATTTGCTGTTACTTCAAGTACATTGATCATCTAACTTCTGAATTGAAAGCTGGTAGAGGGTAAACATAACCTGTACTGCTCAGCAAAAACATCTCCAATCTAAAAAATAGTTAAGAGACCAGAAAAAAATTTCAAAAGCAATACCTTTGGCAAAACTTACGCTACACATATATAAGACATTAAAAGGGTTAAGGAAAAAATAAACTGAAGAAACATATATATATATACACACACACATATACACACACACACCCCATATATACCCACAGGCTCCTATGGTAGAAGAAACTCTCCAAGCCTAATAATGCTACAGCAGCAGCACACCAAGTGGACGCAGGAAGAAAGAGAGAAGCTTTCTAAAGGCATTAAAAGCCCAGATCACTGATTTTCAGCTCTTTTCTATAACCACTTTATGGTCAAAGACACCTTTAATTTAAAAAATAAAAAATGTAAACCTCACTTCATGGCCTACTTTCCAACCCCATCTCCCCCTGTACTAAAATCCTAAGCAACCCACCAAACTTATCTGTGTGCTTCTATGAACTGTGAGTGTGAAAACAATAAGACTTTCACTAATTTTTAAATATACCTTACATAAAATAGAATTGCACAATAGATCTTGTTTACAAAAGCTGTACTAAAACAAGGAGTGAAGAAATGTCATAGGAGAATCTGGCACTTAGGTGTAACAAATTCTTCCACAATGCTGAGTAAGTGGCTGGTGCTCTCCCAAGTGTTTTATGTGGTGTATTAATTCAATAGATTTTTATGAGGTAGTACATAAGATGCTCTCCTTATCTCTTGACCTGGAGTTTTTCTGCCATAAGAATGTTTCATCTGCCCCAGGGCAGGCTGGAAAGGTCAGAGAGTTAACACATAAAGAACTAGGGAAATACACAGCCCATCAAGGGACAATTATAAAAACGTGTTACATTCAACTCTCCCAGGGAATCTCTAGGAGATGCAAACATAAATGAAATACTATCTTCAATTTTTTGAGGGAAAATAATTTTAAATCTAAAAGTCCATTCTCAGCCCAATTATCAAGAAAGCACAAAAGAAGACTAAATAATTTTAAGGCATCCAAGGATTAAAATAATTTACCTCTAGTAGTCTTAAGCGTCACCTGAGGATATATATCAGAAAAACAAAAGCAAAGAAAGGAAAATGTGGAAGACAACATAGATTCATAACTGAGGAAACAGGAAAAAGAAGTCCCAAGACAAAGAGCAGCCTGGAAGAGTCAACAGTTACAACTGGAAAAGAGCCATCTCAGGAATTTGAAATAATTTAAGATGCTGGCAAAGATTGAAGGTGGGAGGAGAAGGGGACGACAGAAGATAAGATGGTTGGATGGCATCACCGACTCAATGGACGTGAGTTATGAGTAAACTCCGGGACTTGGTGATGGACAGGGAGGCCGGGAGTGCTGCAGTCCATGGGGTCGCAAAGAGTCGGACATGACTGAGTGACTGAACTGAACTGAAGACGACAAAGGCAGGCCACTTAAAGGGATGTGTGGGATGAGTAAGAGCTAAGGCTCTAGGATAACAAAGGAAACATAATCCCAGTTGAGTTCAAGGATTTCAGAGCTCATCAAGAAAAAGACAGGAGCAAAGACAACAGTATCACACAAGAAGCTCTACTGAGAAGTATCCCTTCATACCGCAGACCTTCCCAAGAAAGCAGCCCAGGCCCCCATGCAGGACAGAAGAAGGTCGCTGAGGAAGGAGGGGGGCCAGGAATGGGTCTCTCCCCAGAGAGGCCTCTGAGGCACAGAGCTCCAAACGGCATCAGAGGTGTGGGGGGTCTTAGAGCTACAGGATTTGCTTATCTAGAGCCAGCTAACAGATGTGAAGTGCAGTGTGCAATGAGACATGCAAACCATGAAGCCTCGGAAAGGCTAAACTATTACTTGCTGGCCTATATTTAAAGCAACTGGGTGTGTAAGAAGTTGAGTTTGGCACTGGCAGACTTCAAGTGAAGGGTCCTGACGTGCTCTGAAGGAGGAAACAACAGAGGAACAGACAAACTAGTATATTATACAAGAACCCTCTTCAGCCCCTGCATATAACCCCAGTGTACTACTAAGCTTCACACCAGTTCCAACAAAGACATTATAATATAAAAACTATTTCCTGATTTTCAGCTTTTAGAAGCAACCAAAAAAAAAGCTAAAGAACTTAATTATGGTTATGAAATCCAAGTAATATCTATCCTTAATGTAAAAGTAACATGCAAATATAATTGAAACATATGGATGACAGAAGTTGGGACTCAGAAAGAGAAGCACAGCTCCAGAGGAGGATAAAAGTATTAGTATCTCCTTCTTATACATTGAGGGGCAGGATTTCCTGGTAGCTCAGCTAGTGAAGAATCCATATGCAATGCAGGAGACCCAGGTTCAATTCCTGGGTAGGGACGCTCTCCTGGAGAAAGGACGGGCACCCACGCCAGTATTCCTGGGCTTCCCTGGTGGCTCAGGCGGTAAAGAACCCATGGGAGAGCCGGGTTCAATCCCTGGATTGGAAGATCCCCTGGAGGAGGGCATGGCAACCCACTCCAGTATTCTTGCCTGGACAGGGGAGCCTGGCCGGCTACAGTCCATGGGGTCGCAAAGAGTCAGACATGACCAAGTGACTAAGCACAGCACAGCATACAGTGAGGAGCAGGGAGTAAACGGATCCCTGTGGAACAAGAAACACTAAAACAGACACATAACCACATGACAGAGGGCATGTCCATGTCAACAGCTAATACACAGAACCAGATAGTATTTATGCTAAGGTATGTATTTTGGCATATGTTGAAACTAACAGAAAATGCAATTCAGAGTTTTAAAAACTGGCTTGGGGAAGCAGGACTACAGATGAATAGGAGAGAGTTGCAATTCACTTTCAAGCTTGTCAGAACTATGTCCAAATTCTATTTTATGGTCTAACTTCATATAAGTGTTTTTATTCATTTAAAAAACAAAACAACAGTAATTATCTTTGATATTAACTCTGCTTACCAAAAAAATAAGCCAATTTTGGTTTCTCCTTCAAAAACAAGGACTCCTGTTGGGGTCAGTCCCAAGCTGTAGTCATTCCCATCTCTGGCCTAATTTCAGGGGAGCAACATGTGTTAGCTTTATCTGCATAAAACAGGGTTCACATTGTCACAGGGCTGTTTTTCTTTTCATACTGAATTATATTAATTACAAAGAGGTTAATATTAATGTGAAAGGTGCTTTCAACAATTAAAACATCCAAAATAACATTTTCAGGAAAACTCATGCATATGTAGTTCATTGAGACACTATAGTTTTAAGGTATGTGTTCACTGGAAGACATACAGGTAGTGACACTATCACACCAAATTTCCAGAGTCTTCCCAAATCCTAGTCACTATTTAAATCACAGATTTTGAAAAAGACTGCATTTCTGGGAAAATTGAGCTTTTAAAACTAAAAATAACAAATCACTCCATAAGTAAGTTATACTAGACTAGAGCTTATCAATGGAGAAGAACATGGCAACCCACTCCAGTATTCTTGCCTGGAGAAAGAATCCTATGGACAGAAGTTCCCTCAGGCTAAAAGTCAATAGGGTCACAAAGAGTCAGACATGACTGAATAGACTTAGTATGCACGCAGGCACAGTTTATCAAAGTCCCCTCAAGCTACAAATTTTCAACTTTACCTTCTAAATTATTTTCATCTTTACAGAGCCTACTCAAGCTTACATGATAAAAGATGATATTAATATGAAGTGAAAGAATAAAAAGTGATTCAAAAACTAAAAAAACAAAACAAAACAAAAACAGTGATAACTTAAAACCACACACACACCTTTTTGGAAATTGTGGCTGTCTTCTTTCTTATAACAAGTTTTTGTATGAGACTCTCATCATTCAGTATCTACTCTCAATCTTCATAACCACACATCCAAAGCACCCAGTATAGCCCCTGCAAATTACACACTCTCCTTCACACCAAGAGATACCATAGCTACCTTGAGTCTTGCAGGAATAACTTCCTTAGAAAGCGCCCCGACACAGAGCTCACCTTGACCACATGCATGTCAACCCCATACATTTCCAGCCACTTGGCTTTGTTCAGATAATTGGTTTCAGCCTGCGCTGGTGTCTGACCCCTGAAATTTAAAAACAACACCTTTTAAGATGATTACAAATATACAAGGAATTCTATGCTAAGTAAGAAAAACAGAAGAAAACAAACGTGGAATCACTGTTGTGGTGATGTTAAAGTACCTGTATTCTTTCCATTTCTCAAATATAGCGAGCTCCATCTCTTCCGTCTGAACAGGCACAAACCTGAACTCAGACACGAGTTCAGGACTGTGCTCGGCAAGGTCGTAGTCTCCCAGTTCAGCTACAAATGGTAAGTTCCACAAGGTTATGTTTTGTTGGTAAGTTTACTTCCTACTGAATCCTTCTTCAAAACCCACTTATTAATAGAAGATTAGACTTTCTTAAACTACAAGGCATTCATAACACCTAGACCATTACCAAAATCCACCTTAGACTTGTGACTTATCTGTCTGTATGCACAAATCACAATTGTGCCTAGTAGTATATTTTCAATTAAATGTCTTACTCCTAACTGAGTCATACTGTATGATGCTTAGCTTTTGAAAATCTCTTTTAGCCTTCCACAGAGAAATAGCTTTTGACTGTATATTGAATAAACAAAAATATTCAGCAATCCTTTAAAAAAAACAATTAGCTAGCATCAGCTAAGAAGCTATTATGCACAGAACATGACATCAAACATCATTGTAAGATATAATCACTGCCCCCCTGGAATTTTAAATTATTAATTCCAAAGAAATAAAAAAGAAAAGTACTGGATAGTGCAGACACATTTATGCGCCCATCTGTGGTTACCTCTGAACAGGGTTTGGGGATGGAGGGAAAATGATGATTCTCATTTTCTGTTCTTTAGAAAATCTTCCTTTAAAAAATATTTTACTTATATTAAATTAAAACACTTCCATTTTGATAAAAAACTCGGCCATGGAGAGAAAAAGTACGTGAGTCCTACTTTGAGATAATCATAAAAATGGTAATAACTGTTTACTAAGCATCTACTTTACACAATAGTCATATTGCAGACATACTGTCATTTAACTTCACAACAACCTTGGAAAATATTCTCACCCCCACTTCACTGCTAAAGAAACTGCTCTTCTGCCTGGAACATAAGTTTGTTTTTTCTTTTTAACTTTTTATTTTATATTGGAGTACAGCCAATTAACAATGCTGTGCTAGTTTCTGGCAGACAGCAGTGACTCAGCCATACATATACATGTATCCATTCTCCCCCAGACTCCCCTGCCTCTAGGCTGCCACCTAACACTGAGCAGAGTTCCCTGTGTTATTCAGTAGATCCTTGTTGGTTGTTCATTTCAAATATAGCAGTGTGTACATGGACCCCAAACTCCCTAACTATCCCTTCCTCCCATTCATCCCCTCCTGGCAACCATAAGTAGAACACAAGTTCTTTAAAAGCCCCAAACTAAATCTGCTACATAATGCTGTTCAGGATATATACTAATACGGTGTAGAAAAACTAAACTTGAGTGTGTGATAAAACTGATAAAGATTATTCTGATAAAACAGAAAACCATATATGAGGGCTTCTATGGTGGGCCTTAACGACTCCACACTTCCACTGCAGGGAGCACAGGTTCGATCCTTGGTTGGGGAAGTTTCACATGCCACAAGGTGTGGGCAAAAAAAAAGTCATAAACAAGAAGCAAGGAGCTAATTTTATGAAGAGTGAGTAATACTTCAGTTAATTTACTCTTAAGGACCTTAATAATCAGTAGGATTTGGTAACCTATTAGACACAGGACAATGAGATGCACAAGACACAGCATGAAGTTTCGAGGAATCACAAAAACAACTGCACCACGCCCACTCTGCAGCCACAGTGTCAGATGAGTATGAGCAGCTCTCCTCTGAGGCCCTGAAGGCTGCCCGTTATTTGTACCAATAAGTACATGGTGAAAAACTGTGGCAAAGATGGTTTTCACATCGGAGTGGGCTCCATCCCTTGCACCATGCTGTCCTGCACTGGAGCTGATAAGCTCCAGACAGGCATGCAGGGTACCTTTGGAAAGCCCAGGGCACAGAGGCTAGGGTCCACATTGGCCAAATCATAATGTCAAGCTGCAGCACACGGAGCTTGAGATTGAGGCCCTACTGAGAGGCAAGTTCAAGTTTCTTGGCTTCTAATAGATCCACATCTCCAAGAAGGTGTATTTACTAAGTTTAATATGGATGAATTCGAAAATACAGCTCATCCCAGATAGCTGTGGGGTCAAATACATCCCTAATTGTGACCCCCTGGACAAATGGTGGGCCCTGCACTCATGAGAGCCCTGGCACTGTCCCCTCCTTACTCGTGTCCACCAGTAAATCCTACTTTCCTATCTCCTGCCCAAAAAAAATGGTAACCATGGATAAAAGAGAAAGTAAGAAAGAGATTTTATTTAGGGAAAAAAATATAAATAGGGTTAAGAGACAATATAACAGAGCTATATGCATGAATCAGACAGTAAATATTTAGTGAGCATTACTTTAAGTGTTTTGTTAAACACACAAACATGCACAAAGATCATTTTCAAGAAGTATAAACTTTGGCTGCCATGAAACTTACAAAATGAGACACAGAATATATGAAGCCATAAGTGACGGAACACAGATATTGAAAATGACAGCTTTTCTATAGATCTGAGAGTTTCAGAATTCTCACACAGCAATTAGTAGAACATTAAAAATGTGCTTTCAAAAAAAGATGCGTGCAATTACGCACTGTGATCATTACAGTTCTAAAGGTACAGCACTTCCAAATAGTATCCATTCAACATTGCAGCAAGAATGTTTCTCTCCAGCAAGAGAAAACAAGTTTTAGTCTGTAGACAGACTACAATTTACATTAGCAGCAAATTTCTGAAGTACAGAAATTTCTTTCGGCCACCAATTACTCTATCAACAGAAAAATATGCTTTCCAAAATAGAAGTACAAAATTAGCAGATTAGGTTTACCATAAAACATGAAAATTTAGTCTATTAGCCATACAATGGAAAATAAATACTACTGATTTAGAGAGGTTGGGGATAATACAGAATCACCCCCCAAAAAGCATAAAATTATTAATATCTTAATTATTAAATATTATTTTTATTCTAGTATATACAGATACTCCAGCCAAAATGTTTCTTTCCATTTTATGAACAAAGGCAAATTATTATTTTCCTAAAATGTCAATTTTTTCAGAAGAAAAATGCCTAAGTTTAACAAATATTTGATCAGTGTAACAAGGTACAAAAGGGTAAGTTTTTCATTAATCTCATTGACTGGAAAACACTTTAAAAAAAATTCTTACAATAACCATCAGGAACTTCTAAATACATGCTAGTGTTTCTTTTCATGGACTGATTCTTAAGAATAAGACAAAAGTAAGCAGGCCAGGTGGCGACAGCAACAATTTACTCATACATCGTGCATTCTTTCTAAAAAGAAAAAATGTGCTGAGGGTCCAACCATATCATGTATTGAATTATCAAGTAGACTGCAAATTCTGCTTGAAAATACTATTGGACAGAAAGGTAGCAAATAAATGGAAGGAAAAGAAGGCATTGCTCTGAAACAAGGGAGTCAGAGCTGGATACTGATGCAAGATTACACAAACACAGGTGTTTCTTTTCTGGTATGTCACTATGAATCTTCTGAGAGGCTTCAAACACACACAAAGAAGAATTATGCTTCACTCTTAACAGTGAACATAAAAACTGCTTACCTTGCAAGTTATAAGCTGCCAACTGAACCGCTGTATCAAAGGGACACTCTAATCTGAGACCAAAACATAAATGTGTTAAATGAGCCAATGTCACAACCCCTGTTTTATGATAAATGGAAATAAGACATACTTTATGTTGACTGCTTCTTTTTCATATTTAACTATGAACTTATTTTTTCAACTATTCAAGAAAACATGGTTTACCTTAAACCAATACTCACTTTCCACTGAGAATATCTTGTTTTAACTGAAGAACAAATAAATACCTAAGAAAAATAAAAGGCACAAATTTTACTAAACAGAACAATCTACCGTGAAAAATAATCCTGCCCTTCTAATTTGAGAAGAAACATTCTAAATTACAAAACTTTACCCACAATAAAGTCTATAAAGGAAAAAGAATATGAAACAAGGGGCATTCAACACCAGAAGGAAGCACTGGAGTTCAGGACACTCTCAAAAGACAAGGTTTAAAGCAAATTCATTGAGAATGAACTCTGTGATCTGACAACACAGCCACCTCGTAAGTAAAGGGATACAGCTACATGCACACAGATGGCAGCTACGCTCTTACCCATCAGGAGAATATTCCAGAGGAAACCCTTCTACTGGGATTCAGCAATTCAATTTTTTACTTAATAAAAGTAGTACATGTGCATGAGTCACAGAAATACAATATAGACTCAATGGATAAATACTAAGGCAAGACAAAATAAAAATACGTTTCTGTAACTTATCTAAAGTTATTTAAGACCATTCAAGAGAAATCAGGATTCAATATTTTCATTACTCAATGGTATGTCAATAAAGAAAGTCAGGAGCCAACCTGAAATAACTCTCAGTGGCGAAAAATAGATAATTTTGAATATTAATAAACATAGAAAGGTAATATATTAAAACACCACAGCCCTGTTATTCATGAGTTGATAGTGATACTTCAGAACTCACTAGTTACTTTTGCAGGATGTTAGAGAACCAACTGTTTATTTTGAAAATTGGTAAATAAAGGAAAACATCCTACACTTAAAAAAACACTGTCTCAAAATGAAATTCACTTGTCAGGTCTCCTGTTACCAGGACAAAGTATCCATTTCATAAGCTGTCTATAAAACTGAAGGAATTATTGAGGTAATCTTCCAACATCTTTAGCTAGTCTACCTGAAACTAGACTCTTGTATATAACTCTAGATAGTGGTCTTACCGGGTCAGCTCTTCACGAAGGTTATTTGGTTCTGAGGAATAAAACTTAACTCGAAGATGCAGACAATAGGGTGAACCAACTGCCATTAAAAGAAAAGGCGGGGGGTAATTTTTTCAATACAGCTATTTAAATAGGATTTTCAGTCAGTAAACTTGTCAAAAATCTACTGAAGTTGACAGAAGAGACTAGATTATTGCAGCAATAATTGAGGTTACACTGTAGGCTTAAGCCTAACACAATCAGTAGACTTTTTAAATGTCCCAACCACCATGTAGCACTGTCACATCACCTGTCCTCCCAAGAACAGACAGCTCCAGATGAATTCCAAAAGTTTAGGGCCAAATGTGTCAAATAAAAAAGTCTTGACTGTGTACGCTAACAGCCCTACGCAGCTGCTGAGCTGTATTTCTTGAGAGCAAAGAGAACACGTGTTGTTAACTGAACATGGCAAATTCACTCACATTCTTTCCAGTTCACTTCAGCACTTCACTAACCTCTATATTATCAGAGATCCCATTATTTTGTAAAAAGAGTTGAGGTGCCCTAAAATCTGATGGATTTTTTTACAAAAAACATGATGGACTATGGATTGGACACTGGTATTTTTCCCTACCGCTAGGAATAATACTAACATTTTATGTGAATAACTTCTTTTCATTAGTCTTAATAACAAAAAAAAGTTACAGCCTTAAAATCTCAAAATACTTTCTAAAGCAGGGCAGATACCAAACAGAGAAATTCCAATGTAACTAACTACTAAACAGAAGTTAAGCATCTCATGGGAACTCAATCTCATTTCCAAACTGCAAGCCTTTGTCCTAGAAACAAACTACAAACAAACAAACCACATGAATCTAGATTACCATCAACCCTACATAATTTAAGGGGTGTGTCAATATATCAGATTGAAATTATTTTTACAAAAATGGAGATGCTAAGAAGCTCATCAGAAACAGGATTTATGTCCCGACTATGAGAAACCAGTTTCTAATATGCAATTATATATAATTCAGTTTCCAATTTTTTTTCAAAAAATTTTCAACACTTACTTTTTACTTGTTTTTTGATGCTTTTTGTACCATCCAACCAATGCTGAAAACAAAAACAAAAAGTGAGCTGTTAAGCCGAGAGAGAATTTAACATTTTAATGACTAAAAGTTAATTTTCATCATGCTTTTGCTAAAGGAAATATTTCACTAGAGAAAAACAGCAGTGAGACTAAAACTTGGGGTGCAGGTGAATGCTAATCTACCTATCCATAACACAGAAACATAGGACACATATGAACAAAAGAAAGACCTACAATCAGATACATGACTTCTTAAAAACATTTCATGTGCTCTTAGTAATAAAGATGGTATTTTTAATTTTGCCCTCAGTTTTTCTCATTGTTCCCAAAAAAGAGGACCCTTTCAAAACTGGTAAAATTATAAGTATATATCATCATTTTCTAATTCTTAGTTCACTTTTGTAATAAAACTATGAGATTTATTAACAGATCATAACCCCAAGTTAGGTGAAATAACAATTTCACTTATTAGAAATAGATACTACTAAAGTAGTAGTCTTTGCAAAAGCTTACACTATAAAATTAGATCTTTCTCACAACCAAGACCCTATTAAACAAGCAGTCTTTGCTCCTTTGCTTTACCAAAAAAAAAAAAAAGTAACAGTCTTGATTTCTGTAACCTTTTCACTCTGAAACACAGAAAACACAAACAGATCTAAGAAGCAATTCCAGAGACTTGCACTGATAAACCATTCCTAGCCCACTCCCTACAATTAATGCCTTTATACTAACAGGGACAGGACATACTCATCCCAATAAGATACACATGACTGTGTTCTCTCCGGTATGCTACAGTCCCAAGCACCCTAAACCAAAGGAGTGCTCTTGTGGTACAGTTCACAGAGCTACGGAATCCAGTCAGAGCTGCAGAGAGGCCAAGCACGGGCAAACAAGACTTCATTGTTAACAGACTTGTAACTATTTGCTTCTCTTGCCAATTATTTGCCTTAGCCTCTTCTCCCCCTTCTCTGCCAAGATCCAAAAGTGAAATTCACAGAACCACTAATGTGCCAGCAAAGTGCCTCTGCACGTGGACACAAGATGGTCAGTAAACATTTCGAAAGGCAGTGAAATATGGTGCAGTGTCTTCTCTGGGTTCAAGTGTGCAAGTTACTGAGTCAACCATCTCTTCATCTTTCGATAAATTCAGCTGGATATCCATTTTTAGGAATATTTTAATCTAGCAAATGTTCAGTTTTATACATCGTTCCATTATAATGCTTGGCCAGCAGCAGGCAGAATACAATTCAATCTATCAGCTGAGAAGAGTTCAACTAGGACAGTGAAAAGTTCACCCATCATGGCTAAGTGCAGGAACCTAATATTCAAATACTCTAGACTTAAATTGTGCAAAATACCTACTACAGCCTAATGGCAATCACATACTGGGTATGAGATCAATTTTACTCAATTTTACTTGCATGCCCTATACAACCAGGAATCTGGGAGTTGCCTATCTTCAGGTCCCATCTATTTTACTGCAATGAATTCCTAAGTGAGTGGCCGGTCAACGGGGCATGTCGTGCAGCCACAGTGACAGAGATGCTCATACACGTAATGAGCACAAATAAGCACACACCTTCTGGGAGGCAATCTGATTATGCCTTAAAAATAACTATGTGGCTGGATGGCCCTAGAGACTGTTATAGGGAGTGACGTTAAGTCAGAGACAGACAAAGAGAAATATATGACATCCCTCATATGTGGAACCTAAATAGAAAAGATACAAATGAACTTACAAAACACAGAGGTAGAGAACTAACTTGTGATGGGGGGAGGGGGCAAGGATGGGGAGAAGGGACAGTTAAGGAGTCGGGAACAGACATGCAAATACAGCTATATTCAAAATGGATAACCAGCAGGGACCTACTGTATGGCACATGGAACTCTGCTCATTGTTATGTGACAGCCTGGATGGGAGAGGAGTTTGGTGAGAATGGATTCATGTATATGGATGGCTGAGTCCCTTCTCTGTTCACCTGAAAATACTACAACATTGTTATTGGCGATACCCCAGTGCAAATTAAAAAGTTAAAAAAAAACTGTGACTTTGACTCAGCAATTCTGCATCTAATAATCATTATGGATGGTTTAACTCACAAGGAATTATAATCAAAGAAAAGTAGGACAATCTGTATATCCAACAATAGTGAACTGGTGAAATCAAGTATTTCAACATGGTAGAACTATGCAGCAATGAAAAAGAATGAAAGCAAAATAGTTAATCTAGAAAATTAAATAATTTTAGTTTTTATTAATTATTTTGCTTTCATTCAAATAACAACACATTATGAATTGTTTTGTCAAAATGTACAAATTTGTACAGGTTATCCTTAAACAATGAGGAGCTGACTTTCACAGGTCCACTCACATGTGGAGTTTTTTCATTAGATACGCAGCACAGTACCATACAATCCTTGGTGGGCTGAACTCACAGATCCTGAACCCTGGACACAGAGATGACTATGAAAGTTATACACTGATTTTCAACTGCGTCCCAAACCCCAACACTGGTCATGGCTCCACCGTATATGGGCTTCCCAGGTGGCTTAGTGGTGAAGAACCTGTTTGATCCCTGGGTCGGGAAGATCCCCTGGAGGGGGAAACAGCACCCCACACCAGTATTCTTGCCTGTAAAATCCCACGGACAGAGGAGCCTGGCGGGCTACAGTCCACAGAGTCGCAAAGAGCTGGACACGACTGAGTGACTGAGCCAACACTGTACGTATAAACACGGCTTTTCTTTCAGACCGAAGCAACCTAGGAGATGTTACATCTAGATGGTTGAGATTGTTGACTATAATTTTTCTTTGTATTTTCTTATATTTTCAACTTATTCTACAACAAGCACATTTTTACACAACAATTAGGCCCCCCTTACTTTAATATTTTATATAAATATTTATAAGGTTAATTTTTTGGTAATATTAAAAGTTGTAGTCAACAGTCCCTCCAACCCCTGCAATACCAATTTCTATCACCATATGCACTCCCCCACCGCCCAAGATTACTAGTTTCTGATTCCCTCAAGTTTCTTCAAAGGAAAAAAAAAAACCTGTGTGTTAGTAAAGAATAAAGACATTAACAATGGACTGGAAATCAACAGGCTAAATACAAATTTTGACAGAATAAATTGTAAGGGATACTGAGAAGGAACCATTAACATAAGCTAGACCAACACTACTTCAAGAACAACTCAGTCTTTCTTGAACAGTTGTAACAAAATTTTTCCAGTTTAAGAACATTTATGGCTAGTCTTAAAAGCAAACCTGTAATCTCTAATTTGTGCCCTAAAAGTCTAAGAAGCACATTAAACATACAATTCTCCTGGTGAGACAAAGGTTCAGAGTTTTCTTCCAAGTAAGCATTTCAGTCTTTCTATGTGCATCTAATAGCTTCTACACTCTGCACTCCCTTAACCCAACCCGAAACTCAGATAAAGCATCAAGCACATTCTAAAGTGAAATTCAGCAACTGGGGGAGTTCCTGGTGATGCTCTGGGGAAGGTCTGAGTTCATGTTTGCATATTCTCAAGTCTGTTTTCTTTCATCTCCTCCACATTCCAAGCCCTGGAACTGGAAAATTCAGAGCTCAGAGACAGGCACTGATAGTATTTTCTCTGAATCAAGGTCTTTAGGGGTTGAGTTAAATTACAGCAGAAGATAAAGGTGAGAACATGCAGATATAGACTTTTGGATGCACAGAGTGAAGCTCATATGGCTCTTCTTCCTCATGTACATTAAAAACAAAATAAATTGCCTAATTTCCTAAAGTGCGGTAGGTAAACTTAGAATTCAAAGAACATGGGAAGCTACACTTATTTCCATCCTATTGAGCTAGGAACAAAAGAACAATTATTTACTTGTGTACCTTAAAATATAAATAATATGTAATCACAAGCATAACAGCCATAGCTAAACCAAACAGAGTCACCTAGGAAGCTTCCAAAACACTACCATACATACACCCTCACCTCAGGCCCTACAGTTCTTCAAATGAATGACTCCTGACTTCTAACACCTACACAGCTAGCAGTAGATACACCACTTTTGTTCAAAGGGCAAAAAGCTGGTGGTAGAGAAATGTAAGCCATCTTTCAAACAACTGCCTCTGCAAAAAATATTTCTCCTGGCTCATGCTCTACATTAAATTATTACTTTAAAGCAAATTTTAACACTTTAACCAATGAACAAATGTTAAAAATCAATGCCATGAAAACAGAAGATCAATCTAACTGAAAACACTTCAATTTACTTTAGATTCCATCATAAATTCTACCTGGGGGATTACTCTTCTGGTGATAAAAGTCTGTGCTGGGCTTCCCTGGTAGCTCAGTCATAAAGAATCCACCTGCCAATACAAGAGACACAGTTTTGACCCCTGATCTGGGAACATCCCACATGCCACAACTACTGAACGTGGAGTCTAGAGCCTGGTTACCGCAACTGCTGAGGCCTCGTGCTGCAACTACTGAAGCCGCAAGCCCTGCAACCTGTGCTCCACAAGAAGGACGCCACTGGAGTGAAGCCTGCGAAACAGAGCAGCCTGGCTCACAGCAACTAGAGAAAAGCCAACACAGCAAGCAAGACCGAGCAGAGCCAAAAATAAATAAATAAAATTCTTTTTTTTAAAGTTCTGTATTATAAGAAATTCCAAATGCAGGCCTGAAAGAGCCATTAGAATATATTTCCCACAATACCTTTCTGTGTATTATTAGTACACCTTCTTAGGAATCTTGAAAGTCAAATTTATAATGGAGATGTAATTGAGTTAAGCAGATTATACATCCACTCTATGGAAATAAGAGCACATAATCTATTTCAGAAATATACTTATTTTAACAAAAACAGTTCCTCCTTGTTTAGCGAATATATGTGCCTATGTGTGTGTGTTTCTTACAATATAGAATATATATGCATACTTAACATATAGGTTATTTCTATGTATTTTTCACTCCCCACTACTTCACTGAATTTTATTAAGCTCTCAGTAACAATCCCATCCAATCAGCTGCCAACAGTGA